TGGCCAACTATATGTTCAAATATATATGACCAAATATATATATTCAAAGCCTGCCCCGTCTCACCTATATGAAGGCGATCTCAATGCTCTAAGAATTGTGGCTGTATAACATATAGAGCTGCATCTAGAAACAAACAAGCCCAAATCTCACTCCAGACATGAATTAACCTTAGGTAAACTGTTGTCTTTTAATCTGCTTCCTCCAGACTGCAACATGGGCCTAATACCAGGCTACCTGGCAAATCTGTTGTAATTATGCATATGAAATAATAAATGCTGCTATGTTATCTTAATTGGTTTATGTTTTAGAAGACTTCCATTCATCATGGTAGAACTACTGAATTAAATAGATCAATTGTCTGGTCCAGAGTAAGAAAGATCTATGGGTCTGTGCATAAAGGAACATATCCAAATTTATTTCAGTCAAATTAAACATAACTCACAAAAGTATTGAAAGCATAAAATTGCTGTCAAGGTGCCCAAATTATATAACCCTCTACCCCAGACTCTATTTCGTGTCAAAAGCATTGCATAAATAGAACAAGTATAAAACTGATAAAATAGAGGGAGCACAAGCAGCTAAATAATTTTAGACCAGAAATGGGCAACAGCAACCACATTGTCTGCAGCTTTAAACAATTCTTCCTCTTGTGCATGAGGCAGAGCATTGTGGGCAAGCATACAGATGCGGAGTTGTTTGTTCTGCTCCACAGTCGCACAAGGTGGAGGATTCTTCTAGGTAGTACCATTTTGCCAGGTTGTCTTTTGATCTGCCCACTCCACTTCTGAGTTTGTTCAGGGATTTCCACATTGCCCATTCTTGGTTTGTCCCCGACTAGAATAGATATACATTGTTCTATGAAATAATGAAAAGGCTGAAACTAGAAAGCATCTCCAGAAATATAACTCCTAAATAATTGTGACTCTTCAGTATGGAGTGCTCCAAGGCTGTAGAACACTATCACTCAAACATTAAGCTTCAATAACTCCCAGGCGAGGAAATTAATCTACAGTCAGACTTACTGCATTGAGGCAATACCCATAATGACAGGAGATCAGGTGAGTGATTTGCCAGGTCAAGCAAGTTGTAACATCTCTATTAGGGCAGTGTGACAACGTGTGGCATTTAGGGAATTGCATTACTGCCTTTTTGTTAAGACATGTACCTGGTAACATGGCTGAAGAAACCAGTTGGACATTTATCTTAGAACTGAACTGAAGGGGGTTTCCTCTCCCCAGAATCGTAGAAAAAGCCACCGAGTAGGGATCTGCTTGCTGATTCCACCTTTGCTAAAACACTGATTTCCTGGGAACCATGCTGTGCCTCCTAGGCTTTGAGGTCTTTTGTTGAAACACTGCTTTTTAAATCACTGGCAGGGCTCCTTTAATGCTGGAGTCAAACTAGACTTGCTCAAAATCACACACTTTGAAATTAGTTTGCTCAAGAGACTTTGTTTTGAAATCAGGTTGGTGAGAGCAGCCCCCAACATCTGGGGATGGGGACAGGAACAGTTTTTGTGTAAGAAGAATTTGAACTTGCTTCAGTCAATGATCACCAAATCTAAAGTCTGAGTGTGTGCATTCAGACAAACCCTTAACTGTCAACTATGTTGCACCAAACTATATTGCATCTGAATCTGGTACATTGATTTCTGTGTCGTATTAATAAAAAGCAGGGCTTAACTAGATAAGAATGTCTCTGGAAGTATTGAGATTTACATTTTTTATGGTTTGCATATAAACTTCTTGAAATATTTTGGGTTTACTTCTTACCTTGTGTTCTTCCTTCTCTCCCTCTCTCTGATCGTATGTCATAGGACCATCACACAAGGGAGGCAAACCAGCCTTGAAGGACATATTGACTCCCCCAATTAACCAATTTCTTGCTACTAGGGGCAAATTCACTAGGAAATACTAGGTTAATTTAAGCTGACCCCAGGAGTAGGAATGAAAAGTTCTTGCTAATACCACGAGTTCTCTGGAAATAGTTGTGGATGGAAAAAACATCACGTACAAAAATAAATGAAATCAGGTTGTACAGAAACAATCCTGGGGCTTTTGGAGACTTTTCTTCATGTCTGGAGCAACTGGCAAATTAGATCTCACAGGTTTAAAATCTACCCAACCCTAGCCTAGGGTCACTCAGTGTTTTCAGCTTTCCCAGTTCAGCAACATGTATTTCTGTTTCACTTCCCACAATACTTTATCTTCATTTACTTTGTTTCCTTGCATATTTCTTCATGTCAAAAAGAAAAGAAAAAACAGAGTAAAGATAGACATGAGACACTTCATTTGTTGACTCTTGAGAAAGCACATGTTTTTAAAAAATACCCTGATCAAACAGGTGGATATTTTCACAACACATACAGATAGTGTTGCTGGAGTGGAAACTGGAGGGGACTCCTGTACCTTTAACAGGTGTGTAGAAGAGGAAATTTCAGCAAGTGTTGCTTGTCACAGAATAGTAGTCTGTACTCATGGGCTTTTCACTTTTTTAAATTGAGATTTATACTTTTTTTGATGGGACAATAAACACTTCCTACCCGAGGAGATCAAAATTATGTTTTAAGAATGAACAGAATCTTTATTCTGCAGAAAAAAATATGTATCAACCATTCATCTGAGCTACACCCTGAGATGGTTCTCAGCGGGTAGTGCAGGATCCCCCAGTGGTGCAATGGGTTAGACCCTTGTGCCAGCAGGACTGCTGACCAAATGGTCTGCATTTCAAATCTGGGGAGCAGGGTGAGCTCCTGTCTGTCAGCTCCAGCTTCTCATGCAGGGACATGAGAGAAGCCTATCACAGGACAGTAAAACATCTGGGCACTTCAACACCCATTTTATGCTCTGGAATTTTAGTCTCTCTCTCTCTCTCTCTTTTTTTTTTTTTGCTGTTGAACATGTATTTCCAGATAGCATTTTATGTAAATGTAACACCCAACTTATGCTCTGACATTCTATTCTCTAGTTCTTTCATGCATTTCCAGCTATAATTTTATGTAAATACCTGGAATCAAACTAATTTTTCCTAGAAAATTCTGTGTTTCAAGATATGCAGACTGCCACATCGCAGAAAAAATTGTGTTTCCACACAGAGAAGCTGCTTTGGTGACTGAACAGAGTAAAAATCCCTCAGGTAAATAAAATTAAGAAGGCAAGTCTGACTAGTTTAGCCTGTTACATTGCATTTGGATTGCTAACCAATTATAATAATCATTGCATATCACTAAAATGTGGTATATGATTAACTTAATTAGATCTAAAATAATACCAAAGTCATTCTCTGTTATAGATTTGCATTACATTACCTGGTAGTGTTTCAAGCAAATGTGCTGCTATAGAACGAGTCATTTTTATTATATCTGTAAGATGCCTTGAAACAGGCTTCAATATCAGTAAAACACCACAGTTCTGTAATATAAATATATAGTGACTTATTCTTTCCGCTTCCATATTGCTCTAGTGACAAATATGGAAGGGAACAGGATAAGGCACAATATATTTAGCTAGTACTCAGACAGTGCTTTTGGTAAACAAAACATTAGTTTGAATCCAAATCCTGTCAGTCAGGTAGCAAAACGATTTCTGCACATTCAAGGGCTGTGTTTCAATTCTTGCTCATGACTTCCATGCTCCCTAAATTAATTGTAAGATTTTTTAAACTTTAGGAATGAGAACAGTATCACCCAGAGGGGACTAAAGAAGCTCCTTTTTATAAATAAGCAATTATGGCTTCAGCCATAACATCTAATGCTGTAAAATTTGGCAAAACTAAATTGTTATTTTAGTCCAACCATGGGATAATAATTGAAAAGTAAGGTCCCATTTATGGGCACTATGTGAAAACCATAGGCAAATGTGCCTTTGATTCACGGAAGGAAGGAAGCAGGCTATTGCTTAGAAGACTTGACCAAAGAAGGCGGTTTGGGAAGCTACATAACATGGTAGAAATTATTAAGTACAGAAAAAGAGGAAAGCATAATAACAGCTTAGGTGGTGTCTCTTCACCTATGATGTCCATATATACCAGGACAGCTTCTGAGCAGCGATCGAGGGAGTAATGTGACACTTGCAGAGAATCTCTCAGAGACAGCAACAGTGGCACCCTAGCTAAGATGGTATTGTGCAGGAGGCGGTCTGTTGCCAAAATGAAACAAGAGATAGTGTCAGAGGATGAGACTCCCACGTAGAAATGCACTCAACCATCTACTGGAGAAGAGCAGAAGTGTGATTCCAGTTGCCAATGATGCCACTGGACTCAAGGCAAAAGGACAATCTGGTATTTACATATTCAGAGGCAAAAGGAAATTCTGGAATTTTACCAGCATAAATCACGGGAAGCTAGATATCATAAAACAAGAAATTATACATATAAACACTGCAATACTTGTGGTGAGAAACCTAAAGTGGACAACAATGGGATATTTAGTATAATTAGAAAGTTATACTGTGTTTTAAGAAGTGAAAACCTAAGAAAAAATGAGGTGGCATTAATGGTAAGAAGACATGTACCAAAACTACTAATAGAGACATAATACAAAGTATGACTGAATCAAACTGGTAGGACTTCAGGGAAATACCCATTGATATAATCATAATCCAAATTTATGTTCCTATTACTGAGGGAGAAGAGAAAGAAATGGAAAGATTCTATAGTGGAGCCTGGGAGAAAATAGATCACATGTTAGAAAAGGACATGTTGATAATCATAAACAAATTCTTTTCTTTATCATTTAATGTATGATAATGACTGGCTACAATATAATGTACTTTTGCCAAATTAAACACAGGCATTGAAACAAGAATACTTAAATGTTTAAATAATTGCCACCATTTCACCAGATTGTCCATCACAGTCAACAGAGAAATTCCAGCATGTGGTACTTATTGCATGTTCTCATTCAATAATCTGTAACAAATCAGAAAACAAAGTTTTCTGGCTAAAGTTTAAATGTATCCATTAATAATCCTCAGTATAAAGGTGCCACAATATATAGTACTATATTGCCTCAAAACATTTATTTCAACAAAATAATGAATGAATACACATATTTAGTAACCTGAGAAGTAAAGAGAACATTTTTAAATTCACTGATCAGAGCAAGCTGACAGGCATGAATAACACCGCAAAACACCTCGGTGCCTTTCATTTATATCATAAGGTCCTATAGGATATTTATAAAACAATCCAGAATCTATGTACAAACTGAGCACATGTTGTTGCTCATTACAAGAGCTTGTTGATTCTGAAGGTGGCACTGATGGCATACATTTAAGGCATTACACTGCAAAGTGATGGTGTGCAGCCGAATCTATCCTGGTGATTGAGCTATATTTGCATAATGCATGAAAGCAGCAGTGCTTTTTTAGCTCAATCCTCTTCTTATGGTGCTTTAAATCCTCAGATTCAAAGTTGAGTCTGAGGATTTAAAACACCAAAAGAAGAATGTGAGAAGTCTGACTTGTCTTCCCTAACTCTCCTTTGCAAAGGTAGCAGTGAAAGGACTTGTGTGACTGTGTTCTTTCTGTGCCTCAAGTCAACACTCATAACAACAAGCGCCACAGACAATGCCTGTAAAGCGTGCAGAGTGCACTCTGAAACCCTGCCTGCTTACAAGCAGGAATACTTAAAATTATCCTTCTGAAGCAGGGGTTTTAGAAGAGAAACATGTTCCTAATTACAGGCTATAACATCTTGGACAGAATATCCTGAAGGAAACCTGCTAAGAGATGAAGACATTTACACAGACATGTGACTACACAGACTAAATAAAACTCTGTTTTTATCTGCATACTCATAAACACATTGGTGAAACCATTATGGGATGTATCAATTACAGAGATATATTAATCTGCAGGCAGAGCTAGAAATGCAAGACAAACAAAAGATAACACACGGCACCTTAGAAGGCTGTAAGTGAAAAATAGTGCTTGCCGTGATTCCTACACCATTTATAGCTTATCTTTCCTTCCAACTCTTCAAGTCTGTCCAGAAAACGCTTTTCTGAAAATATTCAGGGTGGAAGCAGGGTCTTTTTCCTCCAGTGAAGAACACAACTGTGTGTTATCTGCAGCACCATGCTGAAGCACTATAAAGTTGCCAAGTTCAGAAATATTTCTTGAAACAGGGTTGTTTTCACATTAATTTATCATGAAGACATTATGTTAAAATACTGTATTCATTTCCACAGTCTAGTATTTTTAGATGGATAATGCTTTAATTATTATCTGGGAAATTTCAATAATATGTAGTCAAAGTAGCATGGGACATAAATCTTCCCATGAGAAGTGCAGGGCCTAAAAAAAAGGAATATTCACAGCATGTAATGCAGATCTGTTTTTCCTCTCACTCCTGGTATCCAATGAGACAGGTTGCCATGTGGAACCTATAGCCTTTATTGGCTTCTTTTATTGACTATAAGCTGAAAATCCTTGTTTCACATGTTTCTATGAACAAAGGACGCAGGAGATGTGAACAAAAGTAGATGAGTGTAATATATGCACAAATCTATTCTGAATCAGGTATTTGGCAAACTTATGTTTACACATCTTCTGCCTGCAGGTGCTGAATTAATATGAATAATATCCGTGTATATAGTGCAACCTTACTTAACCTGGTGCCCTCCAAATGATTTGGACTGCAACTTCTATTAGCGCCAAACACAATGATCAGAGATGTTAAAATTCCTTTTAAATCCAGCAGGTGGGGAAGGCTACCACAGAGTTCCAGATTATACTCCTGCAGACAACTATTATTAGGTGGCACTAAGAAGCATATAATTTCATAGTTTATATTGAAGTGATGCAGCAAATATGTCTAAAATACTACTTGTACCACCAATTAAGTCAAATTAAGAATGGGAGCGGCTGCACTTCGCACAAAAAGACCTGTTGTAAGTGTATTTTCTTGGACATGAATTGCAATGAAACTAACAGGCTTGCAAGTAAAGAGGTCTGTTTATAGACTTTCCTATTGCTCTTTCTGGTGTTTTTTTTTTTTACTTTGCAGAAGTTAAAAAATAATTCAATAGTTTTGTCCAACTGAGATTTCTAAACAAAGCATTTGTTAAGGAAAAAGACTACATAGATACTTCTTTGCATGATCAAACATGACAAACTTTAGCCAGCAGAAGGTGCCACTTGAAAGCTATGGACAAAGCATACAGTACAATACAGCAAAAGGCTGGAATGATATCCATAAGGAGACATGAGGGCAACGAACAACGTGAAAAATAAGCACACACTTTTCTGCAGTACAATTCCAATTTGTCAGATCAGCTGTTCAAACGGCGATGGCTTTTTAGCTTGAGATGTGTCATCAGATAGCTCTTCTTGCCTTACTTCAACAGACTCTTTGCTGATTGATAGCAGTTTTCGCAACTCTTTATTTTCAAGCTGTAAAGGCAAGAAACAATTTGAAACAAATTAGTAGAGGCAGAAACAACTATTGTAGCACATCTTTCCCAATAAATGTAAAAACAAATACTTCGTCCTTACTAACAAATAAATATTGCTACACAATATTCTTTCATCAAATGACTCAAGCAATGCAACAGATTTTTCAGTGCTGAAACATCCCATACTGCAGGGTTGCATCATATTACTGCAGCCTTTACTTTTTTGATGCTAGAGTAGCCCCTGCCTCCCTTCCTCTCCCATCAACTGCAATGAAGGCTGCAGAAAAACTTCATCAAGACATTAGCTTTAAAGAAAACAACAACCTTATTAAAGCTTGGAGGATGAAAAAAGAGAAATGTATCATACAAGCATTCTTCTTCGATACCCAATATTTCACAATTGCTCATCATCTTACCTCCAACTGTGCTAGCTTTTCTTGTATTTTATAATACTGGTCATTGTCCGCACGAACTGCTTTTCTCATCACCTCTCCCATCTCACAAATCCTATCTATCTGATTCTCAATTTCCTGTAGACAGATTTCAAAACAAAGTTATTTCCAAAGAGAAACATAATGAAAAGAAAAACACCTAAGAGCAGGTCAGTACCATAAGTTCCCTCTCAATCAAGTTACTGCCTTTTTCAAACAAAGGGAACATAGGGATAACACAACTAATTTCAGTAAAGCTTTTAACTACAAAAGACTAAGAAATGCAAAGTAGAAAAATAGCACAATATGGATATGAAACTGGCAAAAGGGGTAGATAAGCACTGGAATGTGACAGGAGGCACTGCATGGTTTCTTGCAATCTCCGAAAGTTGAAAAGGGAAAGAAAAGACCTCAGTAAATGCTACTAGAACATGGGGAGGCAGGAAAAGAAAGCCCTCGGCGGCGCAGTGGGTTAAATCCTTGTGCCAGTAGGACTCAACACCAACAGATCAGAGATTTGAATTTGAGGAGAGCACAGATAAGCTCCCTCTGTTAGCTCCAGCTCCCCATGCAGAGACATGAGCAAAGCCTCCCACAGGATGGTAAAACATCCAGGCGTCCCCTGGGAAATGTCCTTGCAGACAGGCAATTCTCTCACACAGAAGTGACTTGCAGTGTCTCAAGTCGCTCCTGACATGAACAAATAAATAAATAAATAAGGAAAAGAAATTTTTGAATCTATCTTTTTCGGATTTTTAATTCATCAGCTGTCGTCTTGCAACATTTACACTATTGAAGTCATTAAAAAACCACTGCAGTTTACAGGGAACAGCAAATCATCTTCTTTACATGAATTCTTTTACAAAGGAATATTGTGCATATGTTGCAATGGTTTTTTCGAGATAAGAAAAGCTCTAATGGGAAGAATATACTTCAGAAAATACATCAATATTAAAATAGCAAAAAGAAACATTACTGTAACAAAATATATCAGTGATCCCTCAAGTGTCATTTTCATTTCTAGTAAATTCATTTTTTCTGAGAAGAACACTAAAATACAATATAGCATAAAAATTCCTCACTTCAGATTGGGTTTGATGCACTTTTAGAACTGGTTGGGAATCTACATCTTTTCTTTTGATCATGAGTTGTAGCATACGTTTCCTGTATTTGCTCATAATAAGTTCCAAAGCATCTTGGTGTTCCTCCAAAGAGATCCACAGTTCTGAAAACAATAAGAATTCCATGCCGTAATTAGGAATATATTTTCTGATTCAGAGAAATATGAGGAAAGTAAAAAGTTGCATGGAGCGTTAACAATTTCTCCACACATTAACCTGCTCAAGCTTTTATTCCACAATTTCTTTTCAAATATAGGCTAAATCAGGCATGGGCAAACTTCAGTGCTCTAAAAGTTTTTGACCATAATTCCTACCAGTCTAAAACACCCGGAGGGCCAAAGTTTGCCCATGCCTGGGCTAAACTATGTATATGCATTTTCTACCTTCTTTTGCAGATTCTTCTAAATATAAAAACCAGTGCATTCTGAATGCACTGGAAGCATTACTCTGATTATTTATTACGCATTCATAGTTCTTCTGAAACATTGCTGTAAAACATTATTCATCTTATTCAGCCCTTATTTTTCAGCCCTGTTTGGGCTGAAAAATGCGGTATAGAAATAAAGCAAATAAATAATTATTATTTGGCATTGGTTTCAGTCATAGGCAGTTCTATTGTTGATGCATAAAAAGAAACAACTCCACAAAAGAGATCATCTCAATTTTTGTGTAGAAAGTATGTTTACAGCTTTCCCCGTGTCCATAACATAACCTCTGTCTATCATTAACTTCCTCATCTCACCAATAGCCACCAATACCCCTTTTATGTAATATGTACAGAATAAGTGTGTAATTAAACAGAAATATAAGCTAAAAATCTGTAAGTAACTATAATTTATTTGGTCCCTACTAACCATATTTACAATGTACACTTAATGTACTAAATAGAATCCCACAATCTAAGCCACACAAATCATGGTTTCGTATAGCTACACACACACAGGGGGTTACAATCTAGAAATAGTAACAGGCAAGACAGTGTGGCTTAGATGTTGTGAATTTTATCTAATGTAGATTGTTTTCATCTCTATTATCACTCCTGTGAAGAAATTAGGCACACTGTCTTGATGACTCTTAGCATTATATTCAGCATTCTTATTAAGGATTTACTCCACTTTTTAAAAAAAGCAATTGAGCAATCCAAATAGTTGGCATACAATGCATCCTAGAGATCTGCAAACACTGTTCCTCAGGACAATAATAAAGAACAGGTTCAGGAGTGAAACCTTCAGGTAAACTTGTGCACATCACACAAGATTTCCAGGTTTGTCATTGTCAGAAATTCACCTCTGTTTTCCTGTTGCAGATCTCGAATCTGAGTGTTTTCCTGAGACAGCAGAATGTGAGGTTTGTATTTAGACATGTCCTTCAGCTCAGCTGTATCTTCCTGGTACTTGCAAAAAACAAAAACATAAATCGTTCATATGAACCCACAGAAATTGAACCAATGCACCAATCCATGCCAAAATGCTGATTTTCACTCACCTTGTGTGAAAGAGGTGTGCCAACTTCTTTCATAGTCACCATCCGCTTGTGCAACATGGTGGACTGGTCAATGAGAGAATCAGCTGCAGTGTCATGCTCTTTCAGCCTTTCCAGCAGGGCCTTTACATCCGTCAGGATCTTCTCTATAGTACAGGCCATTATCAGACAGCTGAAAGGTTGGCAGAAGAGGGAATTAGGTCAACATGCCAGAGCTGTCAAGACCCCAGGCATATCTTCACTGATCTCTTAAAGTGGGTCGAAGGCAACTTGAAAAGGTGGTGCTTAAATGATGTAATCTGTAATTTCTTTATGTGTTTTATTTGGTTTATGATGCTGTGCTTTTATGTAATGTAATTGTGTCATATAATTTCAGTTGTTTTTAACCACTGTACGCCATTTTGATCCTCACCCTTGGGAGAAAAAAAGGACAAAAATAAATAAATAGATAATTATGTGGCTTTAAACAAGAATAAGCAAAGTCGGAGGATATGCCAAAACAGAGCCTATAATGTGCATCATGACACCTAAGTGTGAACCACATCAAATGGTGAAACTAATTAAAGGATGACTGGTCTGGAGAGCCACACATGCACACTGAAGCAGGGGGAAAACAAACTCCAATTCCCCCTCAATAATAATAATAGGTCAACAACAACAATACATGGCCATGAAGCCACAAATATTGTGAAATCGGGAACTGAGTCGATGCCAACATCAGACCTCAATCTGGTTCCCAGGCTGCATGTGTCATCAGCTCCATGTCGAAATCCTCTGTCAGTTTTACCCTGCCTTAAGCAGTGAGTGATGTGGCCCTTTGAAATATCTATCAATGGGCTCCTGGCACTTCAAAGATATTCAGAGTCCAACCTTATTACTATTGTTCAATGTCTTGTTGAAGGCTTTCATGGCTGGAATCACTGGGTTGCTGTGAGTTTTTCGGGCTGTATGGCCGTGTTCCAGCAGCATTCTCGCCTGACATTTCGCCTGCATCTGTGGCAAGCATCATCATCTGCCCCCTTCCACACAGCTGTATAAGATCCCACATTATCTGCTTTGAACTGGATTATATGGCAGTGTGGACTCAGCCCTTTCACACAGCCATATAACTCAGTATATCATGGCAGATAATCCAAAATATCCGCTTTGAACAGGGCCCCTTCCACATAGCTGTACTGGATTATATGACAGTGTGGACTCTGATAATCCAGTACAAAGCAGATTTGGTTGATTTATCTGGCTTGATAGTCTGGGTTATATGGTTGTGTGGAAGGGCCCAGGGTTATCTGAGGCCCCTTCCACACATCTGAATAAAATCTCACATTATTTGATTTCAATTGGAATATATGGCAGTGTGGACTCAGTTAACCCAGTTCAAAGTGGATATTGTGGGATTTTCTGCTTTGATATTCTGGGTTATATGGCTGTGTAAAAGGGCTGAGTCCACACTGCCATATAATCCAGTTCAAAGTAAGTAATGTGGGATTTTATACAGCTGTGTGGAAGGTGCTAGAGGGTGGTTGCCACAGATGCAGGTGAAACGTCAGAAGAGAATGCTACTGGAACATGGTCATACAACTTGAAAAACTCACAGCAACCCATTACTATGTTTCTTGTTTTTATTTATTTATTTACAACAGTTATAGGCCGCCCTTCTCACCTCGAAGAGGACTCAGAGTGGCTTATAAGATATATGTACATACAATATATTATATTCTTAGCATAGTATAATATCAGTATTAAATATTAGTATATTGTACTATACCATTACATTGCAATAATACTAGTAATATTACATGTAATATAAATATATAATTACAACATCATATTATTAGTATTATATTGCATTACATTATAATATTATAAATATTATATTATAAATTATATGTATATACATTATATTATATAAGTTTTGTCACATTTATTTATACCTTGCTTTTTCTTTCCACAAAGGCCCCTTTCACATACCAGTATAAAATCCCACATTATCTGCTTTGAACTGGGGGCCCCTCCACAGAGTCCTAAATCTCAGAACATCAAGGCAGAAAATCCCACAATATCTGCTTTGAAGTGGGTTATCTGAGTCCACACTCAGATAATATGGCATTTTCTGCCTTGATATTCTGCGATATAGGGATGTGGAAGGGTTCTTGGTTAACTGGCAGCGTGGACTCCGATAACGCAGTTCAAAGCAGATATTGTGGATTATCTGCCTTGATATTTTGGGTTATATGGCTGCGTGGAAGGACCGAAAGGAGATTTAGCAAGAAGGCAAAGAGGAAAACGGCTTTCCAGATGGACAGACTCAATCAGGAGAGTGAAGGCTGACCTGAGATCGAAATACCTGTTGAGAATAGGATGACTTGGTTGGCCTCTCATTCATGGGGTCAAAGTTGACTTTCCGGCAGTTTGACAACAACAATTACAGGGGACAACAGAAGGAAAGAAGAGGCAGCCCCACAAAACCAGACCTGGGTTGTCATCCAAGGACAACAGGTTGCAACTTACTTGATTCATTCATTGTTATATTTTTAATTGCTGGCTATAGCAGGCATGGGCAAACTTGGGCCCTCCTGGTGTTTTGGACTACCGGCTGTTAGGAATTGTGGGAGTTGAAGTCCAAAACACCAGGAAGGCCCAAGTTTGCTCATGCCTGGGCGAGAGGGAGAGGGCCTGCTGGGCCAATGTAGCCTGGCTCTTTCTAATAGAGGGGGCCCCTTTTCGGAGGCCATTCCCAAGAAGGGAGCCCCCCCACCCTCGAAAGAGCTGCTCACCTCCGCCAGCCCCCGCTTTCCGCTTCCTCTCTCGCCGGGTCTCTGCTCGGAAGGTCTTCGCTCGGCAGAAGGCTCGCTAGGCGGCGCCCGGGTCACAGGCACCGCGCTCCGACCCTCACCGGCCGCCGTAGCTTCCGCTCTGAAGCTGCTCCACCTGAGGAGTCAAAGGGGATGCGCTCCTCGTGTGTTTTCATCTAAACTTCCGGTCGCCGAGCGAGACAAGGTTATGGGCTGCTTTTCGCGGGAGAAGTTCAGCCTCCGCTCACCGAAGGAAGGAAGGAAGGAAGGAGGCCAACTTGGGCCCGCCCTCCAGGTGTTTTGGACTTCAACTCCCACCATTCCTAACAGGCTCAGGTCCTTTCCTTTCCCCCCTCAGCCGCTTAAGCGGAAAAGGAAGGGCCCTGAGGCTGTTAGGAATGGTGGAAGTTGAAGTCCAAAACACCTGGAGAGAAGGCCCAAGTTGGCCCATGTTGGGTGTAGAATGGATACAGATTAACACCTTGCTTCAATGCTAAGGAATCCTGGGAGTTGTCGTTTCCCAAGGTCTTCTCTGGTAGAGTTGCTGCACCTTCGTACTATAATAATAATAATAATAATGATGATAATAAAAAACTGGGAGCAGTGCCTAAAGACCTTGGCCTGTACTTAAACACAATCAGCGCTGGGAAAATTACCATCTGCCAGCTGCAGAAGGCCACCTTACTGACCTGAGGCTGACCTGAGAACGGCATCTGGGATCTGAACTCATTATTGGAATCTGAATGCATTATTCGCTGATACATCACAGTCCTAGACACTGTCCAATGTGTCCGATGTGTGATCCAATACAACAGCCAGCAGAGTGTCTGCTGTGGGCTCATCTTATTGTGTTTATAACAACAACAATAGATTACATCTCAGCTGCTCCAAGAAGATCGCGCAGACAGATTGCAAGCAGAGGCATAACACCGTTGCTCAGATGATTCATTAGAACCTGTGCCAAAAATACCCTCTGCCTGTGACAAAGAACCAGTGGGATCACAAGCCTGAAAAAGATACAGGAAATGAACACATCAAACTCCTCTGGGACTTCTGAATTTAGACTGACAGAGTTTTGGAGTGCAATACTCCTGACCTCACTATTGTGTTAAAAAACAAAATATGGATAATCTGTGTTGCAATCCCAGGTGACAGCAGAATGGAAGAGAAACAACTGGAAAAGATGACACGATATGAGGATTTAAAGATCGAACTGCAAAGACTGTGGCACAAACCAGTAAAGGTGGTCCCAGTGGTGATCGGTACACTGGGTGCAGTGCCTAAAGACCTTGGCCTGTTCTTAAACATAACGGCACTGGCAAAATTACCATCTGCCAGCTGCAAAAGGCCACCTTACTGGGATCTGCATGTATTATTCACCGATACATCACAGTCCTAGACACTTGGGAAGTGTCCGTTGTGTGATCCAATACAACACCCAGCAGAGTGTCTGCTGTGGACTCATCTTATTGTGTTTCTAATAGTAGTAGTAGTAGTAGTAATACAATAGATCACATCCTCAGCTCCTGCAAGAAGATTGCACAGACAGACTACAAGCAGAGGCATAACACCGTTGCTCAGATGATTAACTGGAACTTGTGCCACAAATACCATCTGCCTGTGACAAAGAACTGGTGGGATCACAAGCCGGAAAAAGTTACAGAGAATGAACATGTCAAGCTACTCTGGGACTTCCGAATTCAGACAGAGTTTTAGAGCACAATACTCCTGACCTGGCAATCGTGTGAAAAAACTAAGTATGGATCGTGGATGTTGCAGTCCCAGGTGACAGCAGGATTGAAGAGAAACAACTGGAAAAGATAACACGATATGAGGATTTAAAGATCGAAGTGCAAAGACTGTGGCACAAGCCAGTCAAGGTGGTCCCAGTGGTGATTGGCACACTGGGTGCAGTGCCTAAAGACCTTGGCCTTGGACCTCAGCGCTGACAAGATTACCATCTGCCAGCTGCAAAAGGCCACCTTACTGGGATCTGCACACATTATTCGCTGATACCTCACACAGTCCTAGACACATGGGAAGTGTCCGACGTGTGATCCAATACAACAGCCAGCGGAGTGTCTGCTGTGGACTCATCTTGTTGTGTTTCAAATAATAATAATAATAATAATAATAATAATAATAAACATGCAAAAATACTGTGGGACTTTTGAATCTAGACTGACAAAGTTTTGGAACACGATACCCAGGCATCAAGATTGTGGAAAAGAAAAAAGTCTGGATTATTGATGTCACCATACCGGGTGACAGTCGCATTGAGGAAAAACGACAGAAAAAATTCAGCCACTATCAAGATCTCAAAATCGAACTGCAAAGGCTCTGACATAAACCAGTACAGGTGGTCCCAATAGTCATTGGCACACTGGGTGCTTGCCAAAATATCTCAGCTGGCATTTGAAAAAATAAACATGGACAAAATCACAATCTGTCAACTGCAAAGGCCACCTTACTTGGATTTGCATGCATCATTCGAAAATACAGTCCTAGATGTTTGGGAAGTGCTTGACTTGTGATTTTTTTTATACAAAATCCAGCATATAGATCTTGTTTGCTGTGACATACTGTGCTTTTGTGTCAGTAAAATAATAACAATATAACAATATATCACATTCTCAGCTGCTGCAAGAAGATTGCGCAGACAGAGTACAAGCAGAGGCATAACATTGTTGCTCAGATGATTCATTGGAACATGTACCACAAATACCATCTGCCTGCGACAAAACTGGTGGGATCACAAGCCAGAAAAAGTTACAGAGAATGAACACGCCAAACTCCTCTGGGACTTCTGGATTCAGACAGACAGAGTTTTGGAGCATAATACTCCTGACTTCACAATCGTGTTAAAAAACAAAGTATGGATCGTTGATGTCGCAATCCCAGGCGACAGCAGGATTGCAGAGAAACAACTGGAAAAGCTGACACAATATGAGGATTTAAAGATCAAACTGCAAAGACTCTGGCACAAGTCAGTCGAGGTGGTCCCAGTGGTGATCGGCACACCGGCTGCAGTGCCTAAAAATCTTGGCCTGCACTTAAACACAATAGGCGCTGACAAAATTGCCAGCTGCCAGCTGCAAAAGGCCACTTTACTGGGATCTGACGCATTATTCGCCAATACATCACACAGTACTAGACACTTGGGAAGTGTCCGACGTGTGATCCAATACAACAACCAGCAGAGTTATCTTGTCTGCTGTGGACTCATCTTGTTGTGTTTCAAATAATAATAATAAACTTTACCTGTACCCCGCCACCATCTCCCCAAAGGGGACTCTGGGTGGCTAACATGAGACCAAGCCCAAATTTACAGTAAGCAAAATAAAATACAAAGAAGCAGAAAATACCATCAAAATAAATACATGAAATAACAAAATAAAATAAACAATTTCAAAATAAAATGATAGCGAAATAGATGATTCCACAGCATCTAGCCATGACAGTTAAAGTGGTGTCAAACTGTCAATTCCAGGGAAACGCTGCAACGCTAGAGACTAGGATTCAAATCCCCTTCTTAGACATGGAAACCCAGGCCCCATCTGCACCACCAGACTCCTATAATCCAGTTAAAAAACAATAATCTGGATGCAGAAACTGGATTTTATATGGTAGATGGGGTGCGCTTGGGCCAGTCACACTCTCAGCCTCAGAGGAAGGCAATGGCAAATCCTTCCTAAACAAACCATGCTAAGAAACCCCTGATAGTGTTGCCATAAATCAGAAATACAGATTGGAGGAGGGCAGGTTATGGATGATGGGACTTGAAGTCTCTCCACTCACTTCCTGAGATCACTGTGATCCTCATCCAATGACTGATCAAGATCAAACTTGGCACACAGAGCCTCATGACCCACTCTACATCGTGGTACTGTTTGGAGGAGGATGAACCATGTACGATGGAACTCGCAGTACCTTCACTAACTTCCTGAGACCACAGCGAGCCACATAAATAACTGATAAAGACCAACCTTGGTACACAATGCCTTTCTCAAATAACACGGGCAGCACCAGATCCCCAAGCTAGTTAAAAATAAAGTTAAAACCCTTAAAACTAATTAAAATATATTCATAGCTAAAACAACAGCACTGCCTGACATGATCGTAAAAACCTCCTCCTTTAAAAACCTGTCTGAATAAAAATGGTTATATATTTGTTTGCAGCCTTATTTCAGAACTTATTTAACCTGTCTTGTTTTATTTCCTGGTAAAAGGTTTACTGATCCTGTGGTATAGATCACTGCCTCTAACCAAAATGGCTGTTATCATTTGCCCTAAATCTGGCTTTGGCTAATGACAAGTTAAAAGGGAATAGTTTTCATTCTGTATTTTTCTGGAGACCAATTGTAGCCTCAGAGCCTTGTCTTGCCTTTTTCTAGAAAGCCAATGCATATATTATTTCTAAATTTTGACACAGTACTTTGTTTATGAAGGTGTAAGAAGATGATGCAAACAATGAATCAGACCTATGCCAAGAAACAATACATTTTTATTTTTTAAAGAAGAAATAAAAATGATATCTGAGAATACAATCCACTGAGAAGGAAACTCCAGTGAGATCAACAGGACTTACTCCTAGGATTCGGAATTATTCATCACAGAAGGTGGGAGAAAGGCAGTAGAAAAACTCAAACTGGTTTGAATGTCCTTTAATAAATAAAGCAGATGCTGAAATCCATGGAACAAATTAGAGACACATGAGAGTAATATGTAAGAATGGGAAGTGACACTCCCATAAGTTACTGAAAGCAGAACGCAAACCAAACAAATTCCCTGGCTACACAAGAATAAATTTAGGATGATGAAATAAACCACAAAATAACTGTGGAAATCCCATTCTGGTAGCTGTTTTATGGCAATAAACTGTATTCTAGAAAACATGCCAGAGCTTTCTATCAGTGCATACTAATTCTTGAGCCACATTGAAGTAGCACCACATTGAAGTAGCACCTTAAGCCACAAACCTTCCATGCAAACTGTTATACAACCCATTCATGAGGATTATAGTTTTAAAACATGGAATTTGAACTTCTGATGAGGAGAAACCAACTCAATTTACAAATTACACACTGATAAATGACTGAAACTTTAAGCTGAAAGAGGCCCATAGAAAACATTTTCCTCTATCAGTTCCAAGCAATAGCCATATTATCTAAAATGACCCAAAGTACTACTTTTGGTACAA